TGCACGCACCAATCAGCGCCCGGAGCGGCGCCAGGAGGGACATGCCAGCCAATCCTCGGCCCCGCAGTTGGAAGGGCGCGTTCTGATTGGTAGGAAGGATGCTGGTGGCGTGGGCGGATGGAGGGGGGGAACCATTAGTAGAAAGAGACGAGAGGGAGAAGAGCAGCCGCTTTCAGAAGTCAGACGAGGACAGGAAGGGATGAGATAGAGGCAGAGCGCGGGGGCTCCTCGCTGTGCTGCTCCGACCCGACATTGAGGCCTCCTGCTGTTACAGAGCTCCCCTCGCTCTTGCATTGGATTAGTCCAAGAGCCAGCATGGAAGGCCGGCCTTCTCCCACAGTGTCCTTCAGCTATTGGTCAGAGCAGCTGCCGCTCAGCGCTGACGATCCAATGAGGGAGCACCAAGCCTCCAAGGAGGCGGTGTGGGGCTGGGCGCCATGTTGTGGCGTGTGGCGGCACGGCGGAGCGAGAGGCGCCCCGAGGAGCCGGATTGGAGCGCGCAGCTGCGCGGCCGGGCCCGTGTCACGGCCCAGCGCAGAGCGGCGCTCTCTGCAGAGCCCGTAGGAGGCCCCGGGGGCCTCTCTCATCCCCCTTAACGGTGACATTGGCCCGAAGCGGGGCCTCTCCTCACGGCTGCCGCGCGGAGAGCCAGGCTCTCCTCTTTCCGTGGACAAGTATGCCCAGTTCTGAGCCTTTCCCAGGTTGTGAACCTGCCTTTACGGGCGGTGCGTGGGTAGCAAGGCAGCACACGACGCAACTGCCGCTTTCTGGTCGTGTTTGAGGCACCTCCCGGGAGGCGCCTGCACGAGCTGTATCTCACAGGCGACCAGCAGCATTTGCTGCTGCGGCTCTTGCCGCAGCGCCCTCAAGGCCCCCAGACTTCTGTAACGCTTTTTAGTGCGAGCTCAGCGTTTGCTGTTTTGTTCATCGAGGCATCCCTTGTACAGCGCTACAGTTTCTGATGTTCAAGCTACTCAGCACGGGTAGTTATTTTGTGAGGGCGGTGTAAGTGCACATTGATTGCAGAAGCGACGCTGGGACAAAGCCGGGGGGTCAGAGCGAATGACGGGGCCCGTCCGTGAGGGACGGCTGCTTTTCTCCACAAGAGGGAAGCCAAGAGCCATGGCTGACACCAGGCTACACTTACCTGTTGTGGCTGACACACTGCCTATATTAAAATCACCTATACATCGCTAAAGATAAGAGCCAGCAAAGGCTTCCTCTCTAGTATTTCCTCCTTTTAATACAAACATAAGATGAGGAGGTGCCAGACACCTCCCCCTTGAAGATGCTTGGGTAGTGTAAGTGGTGATTTCATGCAACGATTTTTTCTTCAAAATAAACGCTGTCCCCGATAGTAGATTTCTCCCCTGCAGGACATTCAGATTTCCTATCTTTTTCACTGCTTCGTTTTTTCTTAGGAAAAAAAAATCATCTCATTTGACTAGCACACTTTGGATCACAATTACAGGGGGCAGAAAAAGAGAAAAAGCAGCAGTAAGTAAAACAAAAGAATCAAGGTGTCATTTATTCTAAAGCCTTTTTTTTTTTTAATCACCTAGTTGCTGAGCTGAAAAAAATCATTATTTGTGCTGGTGAGGGCTCCTGTACTCCCATGATCCCATCACAGCTTAAATTATCATTCTCTACTCTAGAAATCGTTTCTCCTTGCAAGGTACACAAGTTTTCTCACTTCTACTGCAATTGAATCCCAACACTGCCTGTTTTAATTGATCAAATTAAGCCCCTCAGTTAATTAAGCCCCCCTTCATAACAATTCTCAGTTGCTGGATTAAGGTTTATTGTACTGCCAAAAAAGCTCCAAGATCTACTCTAAGAGCACTTGAGACACACCTGTCAAAAGACTGGCTGATGTTAGTAGTATAGCTCATAACAAGCTCTCTGGCCACATTTGGTGACTACATTTCTCTTTATTTTCCAGTTTGGGGGATATAAATACAATGCACACATTTCTAGCACTGCACAGATTTCATTTTCTGTACTAGATCATAAACGCCCAAAACAGGTCACAGAAACAACTTGTGAAAGCAACATAAAAACAAACTGTTGCAAAGGGATCAATCCTTCGGCACGGTGATGTCAAGCTACATCATTGTGGTTGTACTCTCCTCCAGAATACTGTTATTATTTCAGAACTATTACACTTTGAGACATGACAGAACAAAATTACAAAAGCATTTGCCAATGTCATGATCCAGTAAATCACAGTGCAGTGGCAGACACTTGATACCACTTTCTGATATCAGGAAGCGATGAGTTCACAGGCCCAAAGTAAAGG